GAGAGAGAGAGAGAGAGAAAGATCCATTCGATGCTTTCGGAGCAATCCGCTTCCCGATGAAAAGCTGCATTCTATTTATGAAATATACAGAAGATGACAAAACGAGAGTGAGCGGTGATCGCTCGCGTTCTTCGGCCGTGAATGAATATTGGTCGGATTCGAGCAAAAGCTGACGACGCGAGCGCGGGGGCGCGCGGGTCTCGGCGCAGGGAACCGGGGCGCCCCGGGGCACGGAGAATACGGTCGTCGTCCTCTGTTCCCGGGGAACGAAATATATGTGAGAAACACATAGCCGATGTTCCGGCTGCTGCCAATTTCCTACGGGTCGGCCGGGATCAGTCCGACGTACTTTCTATTTATTTATTTCCCGTCTGGCGACAACCTCACCGGGAAGTGCCACGGGGGTTCGAGTAGACACCGGGGCCAGATGGGAACCACGTCCCGATGTCGCTTATTGCTCGTTAGAGCCGGTCGGCGACGTCGCGACTTTCTTCTTCTGAGCACGGAAAAGAAAATCTCGCTGTGGCCGCGGCTCGTAAGGAGAGAACACGACTTTTCTCATTCCTTAATAGGCAACGCACAGATGCTCGTGGCATTTCTGCCGTGACCCAAGACACTTGTCAAAATTTATCTGACACTTTGCTGTCAATAATTAGAGAGAATTTCATCGGCGGTTAACAACATTATCTGCATTCGGTCCTCTTTAAAACTTTTCTTCGCGATTTTAAAGTGACGACGCATGATACTGTATAACGTGAAGAAATTGCGCAAAAATTGCGAACAAACTACACTACGTATGGTCGATTATTTGAGATAACGAAGATATCGTACCGGCAATTAAAGGTAAAAGAAAGGGCGCATACTGTTCACGATCGTCGTTACCTTTAATGAACCGACAAGTTGGACTTTGTGTGTGAAATTAAATTACGCTCCGCGCGCCGTTCGCGTCGTGCCGAGAAGGACGATCATCAAACTCGTGGCTATTGTACTCGACAAATTAATGCGTCAGAAACGAATGGGAGGTCGTCTCTCGGGATGAGTCCGGGCCGATGATGATACAGTGATGATGTACGCGATAACCGGGAGATCGGCCGAGGAAACGTGTCGAATCCGGACTTCACGCCTCTCGATCGCGCTAACGTCCGCGATTTTTCTCCGGGATTGTTTCTCCCGGCGGTTCATCGGCGACGAGGGGGGGAGGGGGAGCACGCCAAGAAAGTCCGGTTTCTTCCCACGGATAAAGAACCGCGTCTGTTCGCGCGAAAAACTCGTCTGGTGTCCATCCGCCTCTACCCCGCGCGTCCTACATCGTCCCGCGCCTTTCTTGCCATTCGCACGCGGTTTCGGTTCTATTGGCGAAATTTATTTGGCGAAGAGAAACGGCCGCGGGTCCGGACACACGATGTCGCACATGTTGACTGAATGTTTCAGATGCACCGTTCTTCGTCATTCTTCGTGCACTGCGTCGTGCAAAAACGCGCATGTACAGAGGCACCATGTACCACGATCAAATTGACAAAACGCCTCATCGGGGCTATCTTGAGATTATTTATAATCATAAATAAAAATTTTAGATATTTATAAAATTATTAATAAAAATTTTAGATATTTGTAAAATTATAATAATTATAATTTATAATGAAGAGACAAAAATCACTTTAATCTCTTGTTGAGATGCAAGAGATAGCGACTGGCGGTATTTACATCGGTTATTCGCGCCCCCCCCTAATTTTCGAGATTAAAGTGAAAATGCGAGAGAATGCGCGGGAGTAACGCGTATCCAAGTCTAGATAATGCCAATCCGAGGGCGTATCTGTCCTGTCGCCCACGAAAAATCCAAACTACTAACATACCAATATCCACGAAACGTGCAGTCGCATAATATAGAAAATCCCGAGTAGGCCGGTGGCCTCCGACAACTGCCGGTAGGAATGTAACGTAGAGTCGCTGAGCCTGACGCTCGAGAGGTTTTAAAAGCGGCATTATTAGTACGACGACACTCGGCGCGCGATGCTGGCACGACGCTTCATAAATATAAATACGAATGCATAATCGATGAAAGCGAGCGTCTATCGAGCAATGGCAGCTGCATGACAAATGAACGCGTCAGAGTCGTCATCGTCATCATCATTATCATCATCATTATCATCATCATTATCATCATCATCGTTGACATCGATCGAGGGAAGTGGGGGAAGGGGAAGGGGGGGAGAGGAAAGGCGACAGAAATACTTTAAAGAAGAAAAACGCCACTATAACGAAAATAGCTATTTAATATCTGCGTGTCTCTTCGAATTATTACACGATACGCAATAGTGCTAGTATAATATTTAAACGTTCCTACTTTTAACGCGTTGTGAAAAATTGATGGACCGTGGATTTTGCGTTCGTTCCAACCGGGATGGTGGGATCTCATAAAATCGACAGTAATTCCGCTAAAATACCCGTTTTTCCTCCGTCATTATTCGCCAACAATATTCATCGTCGGATTTATTTTCCCTGGTGGAAACAATGATAATCCGCGAACAGCGAGATATAATGTTAAATTGGATTTTCCGTTTTGATTAAATAAAATAGTAGAGAGCGGCGGCAAAAGGTATTGTCATTAATTCCAAGCGATTCGGCCAAGGCTATACGCGTGCAATGACTGCTCACAATGCGTATCGCTGCACGTAGCACTGCATATAATATCGCAGTTCAAGTTTAGCTACCGCATCCTCCGTGCGTACAACAACTGGCGGTCTCGTTCGCCACTTTATCGCGCGTCCCACTTCCCGTCAGGAATTCACTTATCTGGAAATTATTTTAGTCGGCATTACGCCCACGTCCTCGGCGAAATTATTTAAACTGCAGCAAAACGACTCATTCGGAAAAAAATTAGCGTATCTATTTTATTATATATATATATATATATATATATATATATATATGTGTGTGTGTGTGTATAATTATTACACCTAATTCTGCGAAATATCGAAAACTCCGCTGTGCCTTTCAATCACATTTAAATAAAGAGCGCATTTTTACAAATAATTTTGAAGCATTATGCGGTTAATTTCACATGCACAATCGAAAATATTATTAGCACGAAATAATAATGCTTTTATAAAAAAATAGAAACTTATTTATTTTTATAACAATTTCTTTCCCTTACAATTGTTTTTCATTTTCATAATTGAGAATAATATTGTGTATTATTAACAATCAACAATCTTAAAATGAATGAATTAGTTAATGCTGTGATGTGTATCAAACTCTCTATATAATTAAATAAATGTAATAAATTTCGTAAACATGTTTTTTCATTTCCTATCCGTCTTACGTGGAAAGCGCTTTTGCCCAAGGTTGTTTTACGGCAAGGTTGTTCCATAAGAAATTCTTTGCTTTATTCCACATTCGATTCTTCGTTTTCTGTAGGTACATGGGTCCCATATGCCTGCTCAATTTCTGTAAATGTCCTTCCTTTGGTTTCCACCATGCAGAAGATCACGAAAAACATGCTCAAGCCGCATATCAGGGCAAAGAAGGAAAACACCACAGAAATATCTACTACTGCGATGGCGCTTGGAAAGGATATCGTAACCGTAAACGCCAGTATCCAATTGAAGAAAGCCGCGCTGGACGACGCTGCACCTTTCAAACGCGTAGGAAAAATCTCGCCCATGTAGGACCAGGGAATTGGACCTGGCATAAATCAAACGTTCGATAAAATTTTCTTGCTGATAATCGTGTCTATCGTCGAGAATCTTAAAAAGTAAGTTTTGCTCGTTTCTCTAAATATTCACCGCGGACGAAGAATAAAGTTATTCTAACGTAAATCTCTTCGGAGAATATTCGAATCGGAGAACGAGCTATACATAAACTACGAGAGAAAACTCTGAGAAAGTTACAAGAGCAAATACGTGACGTGTAATAACTCTCAATTTCTTCTTCATAAGAGGGATATGTTTTCTGATAGCTCGATCAATGCGAGTGCATCGTTCGATTCAAGCTCACTCGTCGCGCATCGTTATTACTAACCAGCTCCGAGGCAAAAGGCGACTATGTAGACGCACGTCGACGTGAGTGGCAGCCAGTACATTCGCTCTGCCTGTTCCGGTTGATAATTCTTCAAGACGAAGAAAACCGCCAAGGCCGACAAACAGATGCACATCGTTGCCGTAGAGATCACCATGAGTATCTTGCGTCCCAGCTACGAATGTTCCCGATCGCATCGGTAATGCCGGCCGTTAGATAAATTATAGATCGCGTAATCGTGTGGAACACGACTCGACATCATAATAAACTTATCAAAGTATAACCTTGTCGATTAACAGTGCCGCCGCTACGCAAGCTACTATCTGGACGGTGCCGAAAATGACCAGCTCTACTAACGACTCCATGCCGACGCCAGTGGCCTCGAAGATTGTTAAACCATAGAATATTATGGCGTTAATACCGCTGAATTGCTGGGCAAACATCAGACCGTAGGCCACAGCCAAAGTCTTCAATACAGGCTTCTTCATAAAGACTGCGATAGTGGGTCTTTGCAACTTGCTTCTCTCCACTTGTTTCTGTTGCCTCCCATTTATGAAAAGGCGAATTAATAAAGACGTATGCATATTATTATTATTGTTATTGCTATTGTTGCTGTTATTATATCGGCTCTACTATTATTAAATAATAGCATTTTTATAAAATTAACAATTAATATCTAGGAGAATTTCATAATCCTATTTAAATTTGTTATATACATTTGAGCCTCACTATAAAAGATCCGCTATTGTTCTTTAAATATCATTAAACATAATTTAATTATTAATTTAACGCCATTAAACATAATTTAAATATCACTATTGTATTCAGACAGAGTTATTTTACAAATTAACATTTTCGCAAACTCACTTAGTTGTTCAAATTTAAAGAATTTGACTTGACCGACGAGGTTGTAACGTTGCAATTATAATGTTTAACCAACCTTGAACGCGTCGATCTCCGGCTCGATATCGAAATCCAGACCGCGAAAGAACCGCATGGACTTTCGCGCATCTTCTTCCTTATTTTTGATCAAGTAGAACAACGGGCTCTCCGGCATGAAGGCCATCGTTACGCCGAACACGATCGGCGCGATGCAACAGAGGCTGGATATCGCGATCACGTTTCGCGTGAAACCGGTGCAGTACGCATATAGTATACCGATCACGAGCAACAACTGGAAGAAGACGCCCGTCGTTCCTGTTACGAGAAAGGAAGAACCGCATAATGAAGCTGCTACCTCTTCTTCTTTGCCTCTCATCGCTCGGCTAAACGACGACGGTAAATCGCACGCTCGCATTAGCGATGCAAGGAGAACGAGTTCGTGTGCTGAACGATGATAGGCACTAATAATCATCGCTCTGCAAGCCATCTTATTCTACGTCCCGATTACCCACATTACGCTACGCGTCATTATTATTATTGTTGAATCAATCCGTATTCGAAATTGTTTTCATCTCACGTCAAAGTATATCAGTCTCACACTCTTTATTTGAATAGCATGCTACGATATACTTGTACTATACACAGCGTTTCAAAAATAGAGGCTAATCGTTTGGGAGATGATTGGGAAGCCAAAAACGAGAAAAAAAGTTGATATAAACAGAGATCTGAAAATGCATTGTTTTCGAGTTATCATCATTTTTATGTTTTATGAAATTTCAAATTGCTTTGCTTTCGAATCATTTTGTTAAAAAAGAAAGAAGATATGATCTTTATGAGTTTTATAATATAATTAAAGTTAAATAAAAATTAAGAAAAGTTAAATAAAAGTTGCGGATTGCTTTAGCAGAGTGCATCACATGGAGATACAGCTTAGCATCTCTTGGCCAGAGATCAGGGGACTCCACAATTATGCATCCCGAGTAATTTTAAAATAGCCCGTAACTTTTTTATTTGACTTTAATTATGTTATAAAACTCATAAAGACCACCTCTTCTTTTAATTTTGATAAAAAAATTCGGAAACAAAGCAATTTCCAATTTCAATGTAAAAATAGGTATATTCGGATATATATATATCCATATCAATATATCCATTTCTTTCTTGTTTTAGGATTCCTATTCATCTCCCGAGTGATTGCTCTCGACTGAAACGCTATGTATACTTGCATCAGAATTTGATAACATTTTTTTAAATAAATACAATGAGAATGTGCCACATGACTGAATTATACGTTAGTGATCCCTTCTTCAGATACACGAGTCGTAAATAAATGACGCTATCCCTGCTATAAATTACCCTCGAGGGGTACTAGGATTAATCGCCATGTACCTCTGATCTCTTTCTCGGAGATCTCCGCGGAGTAGACGGGCGCCAGAACGCAGCACATGCCGCCGCAGGCGCCGGTCATGATCCTGCCGATCACGAAAAGCGGCGCCTGCGTGCCCGCGGAGATGAGCAGGATCCAGCCAGTGATGAAGACCGGGACCAGGACCATCATCGTCCACTTCCGGCCGATCCTGTCGATTAGTAGGGGCACCGCGAGAGTGCCTAGCGCCGCGCCGATCGGGAACACAGCCGCGATCACGTTTATCATGAAGTCATCTATCCTGCTTTTCAGTATTTCGACACACGGCGCACTCCAACCGAGGCCGCATCCCAACGAGAATCCACCCATGCAGGCTGCGCGAAAGAAGAAAAGGAGGAGTTCGTTGACCGCGAACACGACCACGAGGATTTACGTTACACGTATGGCAATTTGTTCGCCCCGACGTGTCTCTATAACGACGGCCGTTCTTTAAGCCGCAGTGTACTTGAAACGCTCCCTCCCCCTCTCCCTCGCCATTCTGTCTTCTGTCCAACGTTTTTTTTTTTTCTCACCGGATGTTCATTATGGCACTACGCGACATTTAATAATTCCGACATGTCCACCCAATGTACCCTTCGCGTTTTCTCTCGGCCGCTTGTCGTCGTCATTGTCGTCGCGACGATGCCGATTGCTGGCAGTCATTAAGCCCTTTGACTCTCAGCTCTCGTGTACATCGTTTGATGCAATGCAATATCGCACGCGTATATCGCAGGAACGTCGAGGAGGTTTTAAAGGTTAACCCCGAAAAATTTATCCGCTCCCATGACATCGACTATCTTACGTAAAAGAGGGAACCTGCAGCAGCGCCGACGTATTGGCGAATCCTCCTACGAAACACGGCGAGGAAAGTCTGTCGGCTTTCTGTCATTCTTATTTAGTATCGGTTAAGACAAAGATTGAACAACATTGACTTATTTATAGACCGTCGCGAAACCGACTGCGCTCTTCTTCGCTTCGCGATGTTCATTCCTTTCTAATTTCCTCGCTATATTCATTCATCGTGAATGAGAGATATATATAGTACGTGATATTCCATTATTATAATTTTTATATATAATAAATTTTGGCAATTTTGGAAATTGACAATAAATACTGCATTATTATGAAAAATAACGCGCACAAAAACTTCCAGACGTACAATCTAGAAACCATTCGCGCAGCGTAATAGCTCGAGTTCTCTCAATTTTCTATGTTCATTTCTAATGGCCGAGTCATGTATGTATGTAGTGCTTCATTATCCCAACGTTGCAGTTAAACGCATTGCACAATGGAAAGCATGAAGAATGGAAAATCGGTTAATCGTAAGCTAATCGTAAGGCGCTCACGACCCAGTATACATCAGGAAGCCTTTTCCATTCTCTTTATTTTTATCCTTTCTCACGTTCCGTGCAAATTCTATTCAAGTGCTATTTCAAGGCGCTTATATGGTCGTTTTATAAGATTGCTGTGGATTACTCCGAATTGGCGTCATAATTGCATGATTGCCGAATGATCACACGCGTAACGAAACTTTTGCTCCTGAATGACGTAAGAATGCATAAAGAAGTGCAATCTAAAAGCGTGTATACTCTCCTATATTTCTATATGATATAAATTATGTTATAAACAACATTATTAGTAACATAAAAGGCGTAAGAAAAATTTTGTCATCTGAATTACAAGAAATAAGACAGATGCAATGTTTTTATGAAACTTAATTTGTAGAATATAAAATTAAAATAAGAAAATTAATAGATAATTTATAAATAATTCATTATCTTATTAATATAGAAGACAAATGCATTTCTCCCAAAATACATTATACAGAATCATTCTATTTCTACGTACAGCCTCCTATTTCTTTATTCCGACGTTAATTTTGAACGTGTGTGATACGTTACCTAGAAACCTCTTTGAACTAGGGCTAAGTAAATAATCGTCCTTGTGTCCCACAAATGCAAAACAGGCACTAATGGCGAAATAGCGTAACGGACACGCTAATTACGACGTCATGTTCTCGCCATGAGCTCGTAGGCAAGCGTCGGACGATTTCAAACTATTAAAGGCCACGATCGACGAAGTTGGCGCATTTTCGTGCTCCAATAAACTTGACGAGTCTCTCTCGCATACTGTGTCGGGACGACGGAGTCTGCGACACCGATGGTAATGGGGATAACGTCCCTTCCTTACGCCCAGTTACTTCGGCTAACGACATTCAAATTCTATTAAGGCGCCGCGATGTGCGCTTGACAACTTTCCGATTGCAGATCGGGTCCTCGAAGCGGAGGATTCTCCTCCGGTGGTAAAACGATCGATAAGAACAAATGCGGAAACGAGACATTTATCTGTATATCGGCGCACGAGAATTGCGCGACAATCAACTATAGCCCTGTATCTCTATTTAAAAGCGGCCTCACACAGACAGATTATAAGATCTAACGAGAATGATATCGTTATAATATACAGGGTGTTTCAAAAGTTTCAATGGAGGTGATTGGGAAAAAGAAAATAAGAAAAAAAGTTTAACATAGATCCGTAAATGCATTGTTTTCGAGTTATTTTTATGTTGAAATTTCAAATTGTTTTGTTTTCAAATCTTTTTGTCAAAGTTGAAAGAAGAGATGGAGTCTTTATGAATTTTATAACATAATTTTATAACATAATTAAAGTTAAATAAGTCACGGATTGTTTTAGTACTACACAGAATGCACCATATGACGATATGGCCCGCTTAATATCTCTTGGCAGAGATCAGGACTTCACAGTTATGCATCCCGAGTAGTGCTAAAACAACACGCAACTTTCATTTGACTTTAATTATGTTAAAACTCATATTAAAACTCAGACTCTCTTCTCTTCTTACAATTTTAATAAAAACATTCAAAAGCAGAGCAATTTCAAACTTCAACGTGAAAATGGCAACTGTCCGAAAACAACGCATTTTCGGACTTCACATCAATTTTCTTTCTTGTTTTTGGGTCCCCATTCATCTTCCGGGTGATTGACTTCGACTTACGGAACACCCTATATGTACATCCAAATGCGCAATTCCGATACGTAACATAATTAAAGCCGTGACAACGTCATTTATCAGATATTCAATTAACACGCTCAATGCTATGACGATCATCGATAATTGGTTACGATATTGATACATTTCGTTGATACGGAATGCATTGTACAAAATTACACACGTATAACATTTGACAAGAAAACCAATTAAGCAGAGAATGTTTGCGAGAAGGCAACATTTGCCTATTAAAAGATTTAATACGTAATCTGTAATTATAGTGTTTTAAACGCAATTACAATCTGTGCGGAACGTTCAATTTTTCAGTTTGCAATAAATTTTAAACAAAGATTGAATAAAAAATATCGAATCTCTCGATATTATTTCGCATAATACATCGTGTAATTGCGCAAAAAGATACATCAATGCCATTCCCATTAATAGCAGCAAAAACTCTCGGAATGTATAAATATCGATCTGACGATAAAAAAAAAACTATTTTTCATGCATACTTCGATTTGCAGTCAATTCAAGGTTACTGCGCTGTTCTTGTAAACCTTTCGATTACGACATTCATTTACATATGTCGTCGATTAACTAAATTATCGTGCATCATAATAGAAACTACATTATCCACATTGTTACGTTCAGCGATTGTTTGCCCACATCGAATATAGATGGCTGGTAAATACGTTACGTAATTCTCAAGCTGTTTTTCTAGATTCTATTATCATAACAATCGTATCAACGATCTTTGCTCACATCAATTTGTACCAGAATTAGACTGTGATGTCCAGAATCAAGTCTGACCAAACCATCTTCATTCATTCTTGCGAACAGCGACCTACGAGAACGCCCGATATTATCGATAACGATAGAAAAGTACCGCATACGTATGAATCTTGATCGGCTGGCTCGAACATTTCCCAAGGAAGAAGAAAAAAGACGGCATGACACGATGTCCCCAAATGGAATTCCCCTAACGTGAACCGATAAGGACCGTCGCAATATGTGCCTGGAAAAATTTCCCGTAACTCGAGAGCATATTGTTCCCCCGACGTATGAAGAATTCACCCCGTTACTATTCGCCGCTCTCGTGAATTTATCTATAATGGAGCAATAGCCTTTCAAAAACTCATGCAGTCACTTTTCTTTCTTCTCTGCTTCCCAAGCATAAACGACAGAATGAACTCACGAAGAAGGAGACGCCATATTTTCACATTTCATTGTTATTCCTATAAATCGCAAATCTAAATAGCTTTGCTCGGAATTATCTTTGCTTATATTCCATTTATAATTCTAATTATAATCGCCTCAGATTATCTTGTAATAACCTGCATTAAATCGCAACGAGTGCGTTTTAATGACATCGATAATAACAAACAATGAGTCACACAAGTCGCAATCTAACTGAACATTGAATCGACGATTTTCATCAACGGTGACAGTCGTAATCGTTGCCAATGCGTAAAAATTCTTGAAATCGTGGCGCGCAATTTCGCTTAATCGCGCGAAACGCATTTCGCGCGAACGATGCGATAATTGTCTTCCGGCCATCGCGTGCCGAGCTGCCTTTTTACGATGTACAAATCGAATGCGGAGAGGACGCGAGTCTCGAGCACGTCCGTGCTCGCCGGTAACATCGGAGTCCCGGGATCCTCTTCTCTCACCGTGAGAAAAGCTCATTTGCATATAAATATAAGTAAAAAGTGCATTTGCATTTAAATGCGCGACCTGCGGGACCGCGGTATTCTCGCTCTCGTCTCTTCGATGTCGCACTCTCGATCGAACGGTGAATATCTCCGTACGGATAATGACACACGAGGTTTAATAAAGGTCCCGGCAAATGAAAATGAATGACTCTATTAGTTTTTCGAAACAATTACTTTTCATCGATCGAAAGTTATACCGATGTCACATGAATAAATGTCGCTTTATTATTCTGAGCTAAAAAAAGCAAATATTTTTGCATATATCCTCATCCTGTTTGTCAATCTAAATTCAAAAAATTATATATCTTCCTAAAATATATGTGAAAAAAAAAAACGATAATTGTAATAGATAAATAATCACTGAATATACGATGCAGATTCAATGAAAAAAATCAATAATTGTCTAAAGTAATATTCACACCAAGCAACAAACACGAAGAAAGAACACACGAAAAAAAGTAGTTGTACTGAAATGTCTAAAAATTTGATTAGATACAGATATGAAAATAATCTTGTCGTGTCATCAAATTATAAAAAAATGCTGAAATTGGTTGCTAAAATATCATAAATTTTTGCAGTATTATCATCATGTTACATAATTATTTCGCAGGCTCAACAAAATTATTTTCAAATCTATATCTGGACAATTTTTTTAATACTTCAGCAAAGTCGTTGTTTTTATAAAAATGTGAGTGAACAATTGGCTTTAATAAATAATACCGGCAACGATATATTCGTAAAACGAGTTGATCGTTATTTCCTTTATATTATCTATTTAATTTTATTCATTTATTTACATCTATTCACGCTGGTTTAGCTATTCCGGCTTAAAATTCGATAGCTATGAATAATCATAGCCGAATTTCAAGAAATACCGCGTATGGAAAACGAGTGCGTGTTAACTGCAAAGTCGGTCGGCGAGTTCCTGAAAGCGGATCCCTGCGAGCTACCGCTGCTGCATCGGCATAGGAAAGAAGAGAACAGGTCGGCAACCACTATGGTGCTTATGCAGTTGCACGAATCGAGAAGCTGTAAGACGAGAAACGTTTAACCGTGGTAGAGTATAAAATAGCCCGCCGGCGCGAGAAGCGCGATAACGTTTCAATTAGTTGCGAATGCCTTGGTTCACAGGGCGCAAAGTACCTAAGTTTGCAATCTGGAAGACCTCGATTCTAAGAGACCTCGACGTCGCTTAAATTATCACGCTGGACCGTGAGTAATTAATCCGGCCGATTAGTAGTCAGTCACTTACTCCGATTCCCGTTAATAAATGGAAATTTACGAAGTAAATTAGTAACTCGCGGCGTAAATTAAAAAAAACCGCGAGTTTCCGCTGATAAGAAAACCTAACGAAAAGTATCGGCTTAATAAATAGCTGCGTTCACTTACGATGGATAAAAAAACCGGATGGATATAGAACACGAGGCATTCCGTCGGAATCGATTAATTATCGCGTTAAAAACCTCGAGGCAAAAACTTTGCGGAAATTTGCGGTAATTCCGCGCGCTCAATTATCCGGCGGCGCCAAAAATCGGCGGCACCAACCCTTACGAAATCCCACTTGGAGAACAAGAAGAATTGAACGTAATCGCACATACGCGTTAATGAAATTTCTAGAAGGAAGAGAGCGCACGTAATTTTCACAAATCTCTCTCGGATCTCTCTCGCTCTCCACCTCCTCCGTTTCTAACGTGTATGCGACTTCTAAACAACTTACATAAGCGGCCGACTCGCTTAGCCACCTTGAAGTCGGTCGTTGCCGCTATCTCCGCTGTAATAACATCGACATATACGTCGAAGGTTTGCAACTTGCGACTGCCAATTCTAGCACGCAACGCTTTCGCAGTACGCGAGCGCGAATTAAAAACTGGAATACATTTATCAAATATTAAATTCAGAGGCGACAGAACGTCTCTTTGGCAACCGTTTCGCTCTCCGTCTTGCACTCGAGAATATAACTTCGTGCATTTAGACACAATCAAAACATGCTTTTGCGTCAGTGGAAACAAGTCGGACAGCTTACTAGATACGCCAACCAAGATCTTGATATTAAAATTTCGATCGACATTCCAACATTGGCTAATACTGCGTCTCGCCGTGATTACTGAACCAGCACTTGGACGCGAATTAAAATCTTA